TCATTTTTAACATTTTCTTAGGAGTTTTTTTTCACCCCTCAATCATCATGTTTCTCAATGGACTTCTAATTTAGAAACTATGAATTGCATTTTGTAAAGATTCGGCCTACCTCGTCTAAAACTCGCATGCAAATTTATTTTACCTTGCTTTGGTGGGACCCCGACGGGTCTTTAATAAAAATTATCTATCTATCTATCTATCTTCTGCTGCCAACCTTTTGCCACAAGCACTTCTTTCTGAACAACCTCCATCCTGGGCGTTAAGAAACTGACGATATAATTTCTGGCCGTTTCGTTTGGCCCGAGATTAATGGGAACCATAATGCTAGGACGCAAGCATGTCCCAACTGTCAACAAAGCAAGAAGTAGAGGCAGAACAAGGATCCCATCGGCACCTTCTCCAGCCGTGATGGACACTGCAAGTACCTTCCTCTACAGACCAATGTTCGATCATCTGACTTCTGTGGACCTCTTTATAATAATATTAATAATGCTGATCATACTTTCATTGTATTCTAGTGTAAAGCATTGTCAAAACAAATCTACGGTGCGTGCCGACTGAGCAGTGAAAAAAACTTTTGCGGACGATGTATACTTAGTAGGTTTACGGGTAGTTGGCGCTATTCAGAAGAAAATGTTGCAGCCTGTAAAATGACGACAGCCTAGGGCAGCAGCAGTTGGTACTAATGCAGTGGAAGATTCCAATTTATATTTTTTCAAGGAATCGGAACACTGCACCTGTCAAAAGTGCATGGCTGAACAGTTACTCGTCGTTATTAGAAGAATTTGGCCGTTGTGCAGTGGTTGCAGAGTCGGAAGCGATGCCTATGACTGACAGTTCGACCATCGATTTCGATTATGTCCGCCGTGTGCCCCACAGCAGCAGCGCTGGAAGCAGGGACGGTGACTTGCGCAGGGGTTTATAGTGCCCGTAGACTTGCGCTGCATCTACCTACACTCTCTCATCCTCCCTCGCCTGAGCCCGGTGTCAAGACAGAGTCAAGAAGACCGGAGACGAGGGAGGCCGCAGGTGGATGGCTCGAACGGATCCTCACCTTGGCGTTCCACCACACCCCCTGGTCCACAGGACAAATAACCAGGATTTCAACCGACACAACCGAGATTGGAGGCTGGCACTGCCGAAGCCGCACCTAGGCGTGCCGCCGACGCCTGGCTCGGATCCCACACTGTGGTGGGAGTGCCATAAAGGCCACATTATGAGGGAGCCATTGCAGCCTGACTCTCAGACCCCCATCAGTCGAGGAGGAGGTCCAAGTTATCCCGTCAGTTGGCAACCTTCCAGGCCACGGCTTTTAGCGCACCGTGATAGCTTCAAGTGCGTCAGATTGTTTATAGTGAGGAGAAAGTGCGCTGAGTCGTCAACCTCACTCTCCCTTCCCATTCCCACACCGCAGCCGCTGTCCGAGCCGGTCAGCAGACTGGAGTGGGAAATGGGCGCGGTGGCTGGCATGATCGACTGACCATGACTGCGCGCGCCATGAGCACGACCTGGCCCCCCATACACACAAACACCAGGATTTCACACAACGGGGGTTGAACGGCGTGTCTCTCACTTGCGTGAGAGGGTCGTGGAAGGTGCTGTTTCAGCCCGTCGCCCAGCCCACCAGTCCGCCACTACACACTACACACACACGCGCACAACGGGACGAACTGCGTGGACCGAGTGGGGACGTCAATCAGCAACCTTCCTATCCACGATGCTTGACGTGTCGGGATAGTCTCAGACTCAAGTCACCCGTGCAGCCGAAGCCGCATGGGGACCGAGTGGAGATGGACACTTCCCACTTGCGCGGGAGATGGCAGTTGGGTGCTTGCGGTGTGTGAGTGCTGATGTGTGGTGGTGGTGGTGGTGGTGGTGGTGGAGGAGGAGGCAGGGAGGGAGGGTGTTGTGGTGTGATGTAGTCGGCGGTTGTCTACTGCAGGCCGTCGTGGATGCGCATGTGGCCGAGTAGGCCCATGCGATGCGTGAAAGTGCGAGGGCAGTGTGGGCAGTGAAGGTGAGCTTGGTGGATATAGGTTGGTGCTCCAGGTTGGTTTGCCAGTCTCCGTGCGATGAATTCGCAAGTGACCGACCAGGCCTAGGCGAGAGGTGAATGCGCGTGGACAGTGTTGGCAGGCGAAGTCGGTGGTGTCGGTGTCAGTTGCGATGACGGTGATGGGTGATGAAGTGGGGATGGGGTTTGGCGTGGTGGGTGAGTCGGGAGGGCGGTCAATTCCGCTTTTTTGGATGCGCATGTGGCCGAATAGGCCCATGCGATGCGTGAAGGTGCGAGGGCAGTGTGGGCAGTGGAGGCGAGTGCGGTGGGTGTAGGTTGGTGCTCCTGGCACTGGTTCGCCAGTCTCTGTGCGATGGATTCGCAAGTGACTGACTAGGCCGGTATGTGAGGTGAAGGTGCGGTCGCAGTGAGGGCAGGTGTAGTCCTGGTCCTCACCCCTGGAGTCGGAGGTTGGAGGGATGGTGTCTGTTGTTGCGTCATGGATGTGTGTGATGCTGGTGTGAGTGACGGCCACCAGAGCGGCCGTGGTTGATGCAGTGGGGCAGGAGGAGGAAGAGGCGGGGGAAGAGGAGGAGGGGGAGGAAGAAGAAGAAGAGGAGGAGGAGGAGGAGGAGGAGGAGGAGGATGGGGACAAGGAGGAGGAGGAGGAAGGGGGGGAGGACGGAAGTGGTGGTTCAGAAGAATTGTCAGAGTTAGTTGGCGGCGGAGAGGACGAGGAAGAGACGGGCGGAGGGACGGCGGTTGGTGCGGTATGGGAGGTGCAGTTGGTCCGAAGGTGTCCAATGAGTCCAATTCGTGCCTGGAATGTCCGCTGACACCGAGGACACGTTGGAACCGGTTGTGCGTCGGCGTTGCGGACGGGGCGTGGCTGTGATTTGCGTGCGTCGCGTTTCACTTTGGCAGCGGCTATTCGGTTGGCCTCATAGATCGCAGCGCCTGTCTTCACTTTCCTCCTCCAGGTCGGTCGGTCGAGGGCGAGCTCTTCTGAGTTGGTCGGGTTAATTTGCAGATGCTTCAGGGAGGACTTCAGAGTATCCTTGTATCGACGAATTTGGCCTCCTTGGCGGCGAGAGCCCGTGGCGACGTCTCCGTAGAAGAGTCGTTTGGGTAGTCGCTCGTCGTCCATGCGCAACAGGTGGCCGCCTTGATGCAGCTGCATTTGTCTCAGCATGGTGAAGATGCTGAGCATTCCCGTCTGTTGCAGCAAATTTGTGTCGGGGATTCAATCCTGCCAGTTCAGCTTCAGGATGCGACGGAGACAGCTAAGGTGAAAGTGGTTCAGTCGACGTGCCTGCATGATCTTCCACAGTCCTTCACGATTCACCGTGTCGAAGGCTTTCTTCAGGTCCACGAAGGTAGAGTACATGTGGGTTCGCATCTCCTGACACTTCTCCTGAAGTTGACGGGCGGCGAAGATCATATCCACGGTCCCGCGATGACGACGGAAGCCGCATTGGCTTTCCGGCTGAAGGCCCTGTTCCAGATGGTTATTGAGGCAGTTGAGAAGGATGCGAGCGAAGATCTTCCCGGCGATGTTCAGCAAGGAGATGCCACGGTGATTGTCGCCGATTTGGCGATTCCCTTTTCGCTTGTAGAGATGCACGATGGTTGCGTCTTGGAAATCTTGTGGGACTTCCCCTTGGCGCCACATCTCCTGGAAGAGCGCAGTCAGGTGATCCATCAGTTGGGGACCTCCGTGTTTGTAGACCTCAGAACGGATTGCGTCCGATCCGGGTGCTTTCCCGCTGGAGAGCTGCTGCACGGCCCTGATGGTTTCCTGGAGAGAAGGCGGGAGGTCGAGGTCCACGTTGGTCTCCACTTGCGGCAAACGGGCAATGGCGACGTCGGAGATGGCGGAGGGGCGGTTGAGGACGCCTCGGAAATGCTCGGCCCATCTCTGTAGAATTGGTGTCTTCTCAGTCAGGAGAGTGCTACCGTCGGCGCTGAGGAGAGGAGCAGTGCCCTTCGTCGGCGGACCGTAGACAGCTTTGGTCGCGAAGAAGAAGTTCTTCCATTCGATTCGGTCCGCGTACCCTTGGATCTCCTCAGCTGTGAGAGCAGTCCAGGCGTCCTGCATCTCGCGCAGTCGTTGCTGAAGTTGGCGGCGACTGCGGTAGAAGGCAGCTTTGGTGGCATCAGTGGGGTGCTCTGCGTAGGCTTTGTGTAGGCGGTTCTTCTCAGCAAGCAGATTTGTGATGGCGGCGTCGTTGTCGTCGAACCAGTCCTGGTGTTGGCGGGGAGCGCGACCGAGGACGGCGAGCGCCGTCGCCTGGACCGTGTCTCGCAGTTGACACCAGCGGTTCTCCACGGAGGCGTTCTCGGTAGCGTCAGCATCGGCGGCGGCAGCGGCAGCGATAGGAAGGTTGTCTAGCCGTTGAGCTAGCTCATTGCTGAAATGGAGATGGTGAGCGGGCATAGAAAACAAGGCAATATTCAGTGTACCTGGGGGTCGCTTACCTTGTGGTCTCCTACGAGGCTGTAGGCGAATACGCATCTTCGAGATGACGAGGCGATGGTCGGTCCACCCGTCAGCGACCGCAATCGCCCTTGCCACCAGCACGTCCCGCTGGTCTCGCCTCCGGACGAGGACATAGTCCAGCAGGTGCCACTGGCGCGACCGAGGATGCCTCCAGGTGGCCTTCTCTCGCTCCGGCAGACAGAAGAAGGTGTTCGTCAGGATGAGGCGGTGTTCTGCGCAGGTGCGGAGCAGCAGCAGATCATTGTCGTTTGAGCCGCGGAGACCATGGGGACCCAGCACTCCTCTCCAGACAGTCTGGTCTGTGCTTACGCGGGCTTTGAAGTCACCAAGGACAATCAACTTGTCCGCCTTCGACACAGTCGCCAAGAGGGCGTGCAGGTCCTCGTAGAATTTGTCTCTTGCGGCGGGGTCGGGGCTGGTCATCGGCGGAGCGTAGGCGCTGATGATGGTGGCGAATTTGCCTCCCCAGAGAGGCAGACGGAGGCTCATCAGGCGATCGTTGATGCCCTGCGGCAAACAGGGCAGTCGTCCCACGATGTCGTTCCGAATGGCGAAGGCGACACCCGAGTCTCGTCGCTCTGCTCTGGGCCGCCTACTCCAGAAGAAGGTGTGGCGGCACCTACCTCCTCCAGTTGGCCATGTTCGGAGAATCGGGTTTCGCTGAGTGCGGCGATGTCCACCCTGTAGCGCGCCAGTTCCCGGGCCACTAGCGCCCTCCTCCGTTCCGGTCGGTGGCTCCTCGGATTGTCTAAAAGGGAACGAACATTCCAGGCTGCCAGAGTGAGTGGGCTCACCCTGCCAGTCTGGTGACAACGGGTGGGGCGACGGCAAGGGGATGGAGAAGAAGGTGACGAAGGAGAAGTATAGGCAGAGGAAGAGGAAGAAGAGGTAGGATGAGGAGAATGAGTATGGTTGTTGTTGTTATTGGTATTGTTGTTGTTGTTTCGATTTTGATTGTTTCGACCGTGAGTTTTGCGTCTGCGACCACGGTGCGCCAGCAGACGACGTGGTTCCCCAGCAATTTTTAGGCCAGCTTTTCCAAGCCCCCCCGAAGGATGCAGTGCCCTGACCCCTGAATAGGGGCTGCTTGATGTGCCGGCGCGGCCGAACTCCACTGTGGGCCACGAGTTTTTTTGGCAGTGGAAGAACGACTCGAATTTGCCAATGGCTTACGGCATTGCCGCAAGCCTGCGGTCTCCTACGGTGCACCAGATGGGCGCGTGTCGACGGTGCCAATTCGGAGATCCATCCCACCGGCTGATCAACGGCGTACCAGGCGGAGCCTCGTCTCGACGATGCCGATGCGACGTTCCACCACCAACCGGCTGACCAGCGTTGTGCCAGACAGAGCCTCGTCACGACGGCGCCGACGCGGTGTTCCATCCGACCAACCGTCCAACGAAGTCCGCAGTACCCTGTGCACGTGGCACAACGCGCACCGGGAGTAACCGCCCTCACCTGGTTTAGCCCGCTGGTCGAGGCGGTTGCCCGGGGTGTGGCCGCTGAGCAGAGCCCAGCTAGTGGAGCCACATGTGAGAGTTGGGTGACGGCAAATGGACGCTAGGCGTAGTCTCACCTGCAAGCAAATGAGCGACCACTACGACCGTCACGTGAACCCACCGCTGACACCCCTACACTCCTGCCCATGACTAGTGTCGAAGCACACACATGCAAATAGTAAGGTTGCGGCAACCACCTGTTGAGTATCACGTATGCTGTTTTGAATCAGTAAAGCTTGACCGAAGTAATAAGTCTTCAGTGAAATGGGATTTGGAGACTCTGGCATCTGATTCCAATTCGACACGCCTCGCCCATATTTCGCTCTGTCAGACGCGGGAATATCGACCACCAGTATTAAAGGTGGTCACGCGCCGAATTTAATGGCTTTCTCGTTCCGTGGAATAACTTTAATCCCATCTAACTCCAATCTGCCTAGCCCTAACTCGTAGAGTCCTAGCTTTAGTCCTCGTAAACATTGCACTTCCCATCCTGACCCGTGTGCAAACCCTAACCCCAACCCTAGCCATATGCCTTACCCTGTCTGTAATACGGCGATCCATATTTCCGTGACCAATCTTTCGTTGTCATCCACCTAACCCCTTCCGATCCTAGTCCGCACCAGCAATCAACTTCAGCTACTTCGGCCATTATAACAGCTAGGAATCGGTTGCTGGCAATGTTGTCTCACTGCGCACTTTCATATTTCATAATCTCAGACAATCTCAGTGTCCATAGGGCAAAGTTGTCACTTGATACAGGAGCCCCATACTTTATGGTTTGCCTGAATTTGTCTTGCATTAGGTTATGACCTCCAGAAAGGCGATTTAATTCCCGGCGTCCGACCGACCAGTCCTACATCCCTATGAACTACAGGTCGTCTCAGCAGTCATAGGCGATTTTTCCATAGGACATTCGCTAGTATGTGCGGGTCCAACTAAAGGCGTAATTTCAGGCGTGGATTCTCCCGAATGTCAACATGCATCCATCGAGTTGTCGGGCATCAAAATCTTCTAAGGGAATAAAGAAGTCTTCTGCGTTGATTTTGTCACGACTGCTGCCAATATTCCATAGAGGTATTCGCGTCCTCCTGAAGCCGATGCCGATGAAACAGCTGGACAACCGCTTATTAAACTTTTGAAGATCGTTTTGCTATCCACGACTCTTCTCTGGAACATGCAAAAATCTACAGCGTTGTATGGACACGAATAACTGCCGTCCTACCCTCGAGGTTCCGCTATGCATCGCCCTACGCAATTAAAATATGCAGCTAAGGACATTACCGTATCATTTGTCGATCCTTTACCTACTGCATGTCGCCTACCGTTTATGCTATGCAAAAGGACGGTATTCCCCGCCCATGTGTTGACTACCAATGACGGAATGCACTACTCCGAATCGGCGACACTGATGACGGTCTTCCCGGACTAATATGGTTCTCCACACAGGATCTCTCAACGGGTTATGGTTGGTCAAGTTTTACCTGGCAGTCCGGTCATAAAAGCCCGTATGTTATCGACCAGTCTGTTCGATGCATCGACCATACTGTAGGCTCCCATGGCAATGTTAAACATGATGTAACACCTAAGGCCTGTATAATTTACTTCGAGGCTACTAATGGCGATGAACGGGTTTGAATTTTTGCCCATAGCAGACAACAAAACAAACCTGGTATTACCAAATAAAAAGACTAGTATTCTTCTGAGAAGGACAAGAAGGCAAGAAAGCTAACAGCCCAAGATGTGCATACTAGCTTTATCGCTTGGAAGCTGAGAGTGTCGTTGCTAAACCATAACCGAATAAACGGTGTCTGACAATTCTGCAGAAATTGCGAAAATTCCAAACCGCCACTCGTAAAAGCCAAAAAGAAACGTTCCAGAAGGAGGTTTAGAAATTGGTGGAAGACTACAAAAAGTACAGCAAATAAGTATAAAGGGATACAGGAAGAATGGGAGAATATCAGTTCGATTTTACTAAATCGAAGTAGGAGCGCATAGGACAAAATTACACCGTGTAAAAGATCACAAATTTCACAGAGTCACTTAAAGGAGGGGGCGACTTTTTGCTCGGATCCCTGATGGGTTCGGTTCGATCGCCTGTCCGTGAAGATAGCTAGTGTTCCTTCCCTCCCTAGCGCTGACTTCGCCTCGCCTGCCTCCGCCGCCTGACAGTATTGCGTTTCCCTTACCGTCAACACACTCCCGAGCCTTACCTACAGTTGCCGTCAGCGCTGCATTCCCAAGTGGCGTCTAACTGTTATGGTATGGCCATCCCCCATTCCAAGCGGATCATGTGTACAGTACCTCACCATTTTCTGGTATCAATGATTTTCCACCATTATTAGCGTAACGTGAGTTCCATCTATTAGAGATCCCTTTCTTGTTCATCTCTACACGCACGTTAAGTGTGGTGTTTAACAACTCTGTCCAATGCTACACAACCGTGAAGCTACCTGAGGTGGACTATTCGGCCATGTGTGCCTAACCTCAACCTCTTTGGTCGCTACAACGGCGGAGCCGTAGCTTTGATGCATTTCCGTGTGACAGAGGCGGATAAGATCTAACGGACTGCGCAACTTAAGAAAACCAAAAGGTAGATGAACAAACACAATGTTTGTTAGTTAAAATAAACGAATGGCACAACACTGCATGCTAAAAAACGAAGAAATAGGATAATCATGATAAAAATGCGACGGCCAATTGAGTTTCATTAATGACATTTTCAACAGACAATTGCCAGTATTGACTATTTGCTGCATAGGCAGGCCAAATGACAGGCAAATGCTTACAGCCATACCTAACCGGCCGACGTTTTCGAACGGTCCACCGGAAGCCAAAAGTCACGAAAAATCCAACGTTTGGGCCAGCTGTATGAAGTTTCCAAAACGTGTAACTATGTTCTAACGGACCTTCTGATATCCTCTCACCCTGAAAGTCAGCACTTCGTAGATATTATGCATGCTGTTTTCGCATCGGACGCCTTAAACGTGTATGCGGCCTAATTACTTGTTTTGGCACTACAGCGTGCGCGTTAGGAAGTAGTCACCAAACCAACTTTTTGAGAACTAAAACGCAGATTTTCAAAATGCAGAAAGCCGTTTACCTTGCAAATTCTTGTCGCTTCGATCTTTTCGGTCGGCAATAAATTCATTGATGTGGTCCAATTTAAAGAACGTTGACGCTATTCTGCCAATGTGTCTGTAAACCACATCAAAAAATTGTGGTCACATCCCACCTTGTCATAGCAGCCGGTCGCCTAACAATGCACTTAGCTTCGATGTGCTGTAGCCGAGGAGCGCTCACCCTTAGATGATCCGGGCGGCTGCGCGGTTGTTGTCGTCGCTGGACCGGGGGTTGCTCCTAAAAACATTCCGTCGTCTGTCACCGAGTTAGGTTCTTCCGGGACGAGGCTCATAATTCCAGTAAGAGGCTTCACGCAAACGGGGTACGGGTCAGAAGTCGTTGATTAAGGGATATATATATTCCACGCTCGAAAAAAAGGAGGGAGGAGAGCGAAAAAGGTAACGATGAGTACAAAATAGGATAAAAAATGGGAAACGTTAATTTGGTTGATGCGGCGGTTCAGGGAGATTCAGAGTTGTTTTTCAGGAGGCAGAATGTTGACTGAGGCACTCTTCTCGGCGTCCACGCCTGTAAATGGAAAGAGGTGATTCAGCACGCTACCGCCTTTCTATTTCCTGCCTTCCAATCAAAAAACCGCTATTACAGATGTTTCTTAGTTCACTGAGTTTCTTATTGGTATCCTCTGGGTCGCAAAGTGGCTGGTTGTATCACCCAAACATAATTTCGCAAAACTTCAATTCAAGAAGCGTTGTAAAATCAATTACAGCTTGCGTGAAAATGTGATGGGAAAGTCACCATGACAATTCTGTTATCATAGTTATCTTTTCCAGCGTTGATCTTAACTTCTTATAGACATCGGAGAATCAGTCGCAGGCGAGGTCAGTGAAGAGGACGCCTAGTTGGACAACAACTTGTCTTCCGGTATTCCTCGTGGCGTGTGCGGTTGGATCTTCTGGCTGCCTGCTTGTGTTTGACTTTCCTCCTCTTGAGCACCTCTGTATCTCGCTCCTTTCTCTCTCATTCTCTCTCTCTCTCTCTCGCTATTTTCGTTTCCTAATAAACTTCTCACTTCTTCGACTAGACCCTCTCATTTGGAAGGGTGTTCTGTCCGCTTGCTTGCTACAAAATACTCAACCAATCCACCGATAGCGGCGGAAACCATCCGCAAACTGCTGCCAGTAGTCACCCGCTAGCATATAGATGTAGTCCTGTATAGCATTGCTGTGAATGATTTTCTTATGATGGGTCATTTCTTTCTTTCTGGCAGTGGCCTACGTCTTTTAGGCCTCAACTATTCTGTGCGTTTTCTCTACGTAATGAATGACTGTAGAAGCAGCAGCTGGCGCTTTTTGTTGGGTTTGCCTAAATTTAGGCTGATGAGGGCGATCCGCAACAGCCAGTCTGGCTTTTTAATGTGACTGCGAGCGTTGAAAATTTGACAGAAATGATTGCGTGTTTATCGAGTGTTAGTTTTTTGACGTTTTTGTCTGAAGTGTGATTCTTGCTATAAAACATTTATTAAACTAATTCGGACGTAGAAGTTCTCCGTTTGTTTCCAATAATAGACATTATCCTCACGTTACAGCTCCTACTGTTCGAGGACACTTTGCAAATTTTATGCAAATTGCAGTTAGTTTTGACGACTTTCCCACAGTCTTCGATACTCGGTGTGCAAATTTAGTTGAAAGCAACTGATTAACTCGAGAAATATTCACTTTTATGTGCTCTTACTTGTAACACACTACGTTCTCAGGAATCCTTGCACCGTTTCCTCACTTTTTTGTATAAAAGTTTTGGGGCATG